GAACAGTTAACTTATGTAAGTTAAAAACTATGCAACCACATATTTATTACNAAAAGATTTTTCTTCGTATTTAACTCAATTGTGCACTCATTTCTTGAATTTTATTCTTGGTTCTTGAATTGTTTTATATTTTTTTCTTACTTCATTCACTAATCATCGAAATCTAATAAATTTGATTATGTTGCAAGAATAATAATAAACAAACTTTATATTTTTTATGAATAGTTAGAAGAAAATTAAAAATTTCTCATAATCATAAAGATATTATAAAAAATATTATAATATACTAAAAGAATGTCTTTTTTGTTAATAATAGGAGAAAGGCATAACAACTCTACAGGATATCGAAAAGATACAAGAAGCAGTTCCTGAACTTAAAATATATTCTATGACCACATGACCCATGGAAAAAAATCGCCTTTTTCATTTGTCCGTCCCAAAACGCAATAGTTTTGTGCAAGTGATTTGTAAAATATTCATAATATTTAAAAAATAGAGATAAATAAATACGTTGTACAGTTGAAGCTTTTTTTTTTTTTTTTTTTAGAAAATACACGTAATTCAACTATCTTCATTTTATTTTATTATGTCTACCCAGTTTCATAAAAATCCATCTATTTTTAGATTCGTGACACCACGGAACAAAATGGTTCATCGTTATAAAATTTTGTTTTTTTATTTAACTTTTTTTCTAAATGACGAAAAAACAGGCTACCGTATGTTTCCAATCATAAAACCGGAAGATCTTCAATCGTAATTGTATATTTCGAAATTATATATTTAATTATTTATATTGGATATTTTTAACCGTAAAATCATCTTTTTTTCATTTTCTGTTCTATTTGATTCTGTGTACTTTTTTCTTAATTCCCAAATGCCGTATGCCTTTGTAGTAGAGTATTGGTTTAGACAAGATGGTGCCCATAATTTATTCTCGACCTCTAACTACGAGTCTGCTCTAAACTATAAAAAGAACGTCACGTTGAATTAAAGACTTTCACGTGGATGAGGCACATTCGTAGAAATATCAATTTGCATTTATCGATTTCAATTTCGATAATTCAAAATAAATTAATATATTCAAGATAAGTTAAATATTCGATCGAATATTTATTAAAGAAGTTACAATAAAATAAGGAAATAGAGGAAACTTAAAAAATAAAGATAAAATTTAAAACTAACGAGTGTTCCTCATCAACATATTTTAAACAATCGGTACTTTACGATTCTCTCAGTAGTGAGCAGACATCGTGAAAATACATTAAATTCTATTTAATATAGAAGAAAAAACGATATTTTAGGTAACTGATTTGTAACTAAACTAGAATAAAGGCTAAAGTGACGCTACGATCATTTTGATTTAAAAAGAATTTTTTGAAATATGAAATATAAACATCCAATTTAAAATATTATTTTTAACATATAATATTTATATTTATATTATATTTTGAATTAAATAATTAAGTAGCGACACTGTGAGCCCTAAATGTTAATTTTCTGATCTTATATTAACGTTAAGATTGTAGAACAATAGAAATACATCGGTTCAATAACCGCTTACCTAATATATCTCGAGATGCTCTTCTCAAATAGTTCAAAATGTATGAAGAAATTTCAAACTCTAATCAGACCATATTATAGTTGCGTTCAAGCACCGACCCCGTAGGGTGCACTATAAAAACAAATATAAAAAGCCTCGTTTCATTTGTTCCGTAATCCTCTTTTACGATCAAATTTATTACATATCTTATTTTTAAGTAGAAACCTGGCGTCCGAAGGAATCATTAAAATCATGAAAACAGAAGGACCAGCGAGTAAAACAGTTAAATAGAAACGATTATGGAAGAAAAAATAATGTTACCCCCCAAATTTTATAATTATAATTTAAATTTTCTAGTTTTCTATATTTAAAAATGTTTTCATAAAGTAGTTTTATGAAATAATATTAAAATTCGAAAAATCATAAATAAAATATTTATAATAATTCATAAAAATTGTAAAAATTCTCACTTCAATATGTTAAATATTATATTATTGAAAATAATATAAGATATTCCACAATTTATTTTAATTACATAAATATCAAATAACTATATTTATTACTCTTGTTTTACTTTATTTATAAAATCTTTTTATTAAATCCAATTACTAAATGTTAGTTAGTATAGTTGATCATTTTAATGTTAATATATTTCATTTCTATTTTTATTGTAAAACAAAAGTAATATTGTGGAGAAAATTTTCAAAAACTCAAACCAAAAATCTACTCTCAAAGAAAAAATCCATTTAAAAAATTCAAATAACCAACTTATAAACTATAATACCCACCGTAAATAGTCCAACTTCACAATCCATTCGTCTGTTTTCATGTCATGTTGTCGTAGATCGCTATAATAGAAGAAATATGATCAGTCGGTGGAATTGAATATTCGCTGCATCCGAACTGAACGAAAGTTTCTTTATGAATACGTCGAGCCATTCTTTTTTTCTTTCTTCAATAATTCCATTCTTGAAAATTCATGTGTCTTCTTTGATGAAATGAAGAATTTTCAATTTCGTAGATGATATTGCAATAATGGTATTATTGCCCTGAAATGCAAGAATAAAACCATCAGTAAAAACAAAAAATAAAAAAAAAGAAAATGTTCATACCAATTTAATATAAAAAATTAACATATGGATTATATATTAAAAATAAATATAATGATTAGTTTTCATATTTATTTAATTCTAATCATGTAATGATTTATAACTATGATTAATTCAAATGTAATAGATACAAATTTTAAGTAAAAATAATTTATGAATGATAATATGATTAAGCATTTCAGAAATAGAAAAATATGGAATGCTTTCTGAAAACAAAAATCAGTAAATATATTGCTTTCTTTACCGGAAATGTACTTTCAGTAAAATAATTGATCGGAAGTAAGCGATTATCAACATTTGCATAAATATTCACAGAAATACTAATAATAAAGAAAAAAAATAAGATGATAAGTTTTAATTTAAGTAAACTTGAATTATTATTCTTATAAAATATCAATAAAGAAATAGATTATAATAGATTATATTGTAATAGGAATCGAAACATATTGAAGTTCAATATGAAACTTCTCCAAATAATTTAATAATAATTTTTTTTTTTAATTGAAAAATTGACCTAAAAAACATATAATAACACAAAAAAAACAATCATGTTATATATATATAATAAATATTTTTGATATGGAACCGAAATATCATACAGCTTTTTTTTGAGGTTAAGTTTGAAAGCAATGGCTACCTAGTTACCCAGATAAAGGATTCTGTGAGACTAAAGTAAATTAAACATATGTATGTCATTCTTAGAAATATAAAATAACGAATATAAATCTTATATAAATAATATAAATAAAAAAAAAAAAAATAAAAATATTGAAGATTAGGCTAGTCAGATCATTTTCAAAACAACATGATTAAATCAAAATTTGAAATATATTATAAAACAAACAAGACTTACAAGAAATGATGATGAATTAACTATAAACATAGTGGAGGAAGAAATTTTCACACTACTGCACACTGAACGCCACTTCTGACTGCTCTGGAAACTGATTTACAAATGCGTTGAGCCACGCCGAACGATCCTCTTATATAGGCATGTGGCGTCGCAGTGCTGAAAGTTCGAGAAATCGCACCGGCACCCGGTATTTAATGCGCATTTTCTTTTGATTTATGATTTTAATACTTTTTCTATTACTTATATAACAGTAACCGATACAATTATATTCTTCATGTTACAAACTATTGTTCAATGATATTATCATTGCGATTTATTCTGTTTTTTGAAAAAAATAAGGAAAAGCAAAGTATTGATCGACGAGATTTCTGGCACGTTCTCTTACCCAACCCCACCATGTCCCAATTCATACATTTTCTTTTTGGTATACATATTTATCCAGAAATAATTCAAAATTGAATATGAACAACTTACAAATTATTTCTAAAACATTGTTATTTAAAACATATATATATATATATATATATATATATATATA